GCTAATAGCTTAAGATCCACTGTGAATTTTCCAAACCGTCGTTCAGCTTCTTGGTAGAATCCGGGGTGTAGCATCCGGTCTATGGCTGATATGGTTAATATATTTATGATTAGAATATTTAATTGATTTGCAGTTTCAAATATCTACAATTGCGTTTCAACGTATACCAGGTTTTATAATAGTATTGCGTTTAAACATTCATACGTTTATAATATACGTTTAACATGTGCTTCTACTATATGAACCCGCTGATTCTACAACAGTGAGCCGCTGCCCGATAAGATGGTCATGAAAGTGAATCAGAGCATAGGTATCAAAGTGCTAATTGTTAGCGTGCGGTGTGGGGGACTAATAGTAAAGTGCTAGTGTATCTAACGTATGATGCATTCGAATGAATTTATTTATGATCTCACCCTCAGCTATATACTGATGGTGTTTGAACTAGTGTTCAACCACTTGGGTTGGCCAGGGTAAAAACTCATATAATCAGTATGAGAAACCAACACTTTAGCACTCGGATTTATTTTCTAGAAATAAATACATCATATTCTCTGTTACTACACTCAGTCTTGGACCTCGGCTCTCGGCTAGCCGGTGGCCCGTATTCTATAAATAGAATAATCTGAGAAGAAGTCTCAAATTACTCTTACGTTCTCTCGGGCTGACCCACCAATACTTATATGAATTTGAGAACAAGTTCCAAATTACTCTCGGGCTGACGACGTAAAACGGTATTAACGTATATAGAAATACGTCTATTACTGTAGTCTCTCACTAATAGCTTTTTCATCGGGGTTGCATATGTCTGTTGTGCCTTGGTGACAGTCTTTGAGAAGAACATCAGGTAATGCTTGCGTCCGTCAATTAGTTGAAATAGTGCTGTGGACAAAGTACCCGAGGCGGATTTTAAGACCGGACCCGAGGACCGGATCTGAGAGATGAATTTAGGACCGGACCAGCGGACCGGACCTAGGGGAATAATTGAGGACCGGGCCAGAGGACCGGACCGATTAGTGGAATAGAGAATTTAATGAGATAAAGGTGATGACTCATCCTAAACCATAGAGACGGGTATTTTCACATAACCCGATGGTAGAGAAAGTCTCGTTCCACATAGAATCGTGATTAATAAATATAGCAGTTGCGCCATTCCCAATGGCACTTCTGACTGAGTTCACTTATTTCAGACTTAGCACTCTTTACTAAGCGTAACTCGGGTTTAACCACAATGCTCCACCAATACCATAATCTCTTGCATCTGTTTCCAATTCAAGTAAAACACCATCAACCGAAAAGTTCAACCGTACTGCCGACAGGATAGCTTCCTTCATCTGAATCCACGCCAATTGATGTTCTGGCTCTTAACGATTCCCAATGGGCTCCTTTGGCTTAAGCTTAGAAAACGTTCGTAGTGGAGCCACTTTATGTGCAAAGTTAGGTAAATGCTTATGTAAGAAGTTCGTATGCCAATCCTAAAGCAGTACCAGAGGACCGGACCGATTAGTGGAATAGAGAATTTAATGAGAGAAAAGTGATGACTCATCCGAAACCATAGAGACTGTTAGACAATAGTAACGTGTATTAAGTAACTTCATTTACACCTCTTCTGAGGGCCTATATATGTCACTATTAATCCGCCTATATATATAATGGCGGAATTTGAATGTTGACACTGACAGCCCGGTGTACCGAACTGTTGTTGTATTCTTGATATCCGCATATGATGATTTGTTTTGCCTAACACTCCCCTGAAATCGTCAAGAGTGTGAAGAGAGAGAATACAATCACTGCATCTCATTCTTCCCTGGATTGGTTCTCGACAATATCATCATGCTTTAGTGTGGCGCGAGTGTGTAGGGCGAGGGGTGTTTTTGGTAAGCATATCGGCTGGGTTGTCGGTGGTGCTGACGTAGTCTGCTGTGATGACACTTTCTTGTTCGAGTTCCTTAATGTGATGGACTCGTATATCGATATGTCCTAGATGTTTGGTCGGTCCCGTATATGCGATAGTATGAAAAGCTGATTTGTTATCACACTAAAGCGGCGTGGGCTCGGTTTGGAGAAAACTTAACTCAGAGAGTATTTTTCGTAACCTTTGTATACTCTTGGCAGCTTCTGATGCAGCAAAGTATTCGGCTTTGGCAGTACTTGTGGACATTGTCTTCTGTCGCTGTGATTTTCAGGTGACTGGGACTTTGTTGATACGCAGATTATAGCCGGCAGTAGAACGTCGTGTGTCAGGACATGCAGCGGTCAGCGTCGCAGACAGCATCGGCAACTAGTGGTCCCTCGTGGAATGAGTAAGTGCGACCTAATTGTGATGTATCCTTGAGGTATCGTAGGATACGTTGAGCTGCCATCCAGTGTTGGGCAGATGGGTTGTTCATGTACCGAGCTAGTGTGTTTAGGGCGTAGGTGATGTCGATGCGAATTAATACCGACAGATATTGTAATGTGCCTATCAATTCACGATATTCACATATGTGTGGGGGACGCGTGTTTATGCTAACGATATCCTGAGTTGCAGGTGTCGGCGCTGATGGGCTGTCGGCGAGATCAAAGTTCTCTAAGGCCTCGCGGATGTAGCTATATTGAACTAAGCTCAGGGAGTCGTTTGACGATAGAACGCGTCTCCTATGAGCCATTGTGGTTTACCCATTTCTTTGCAGTTATAGTCTGACTAGATCAGTTCTTTGAAACGTGTGACGTCGGCGGCAGAGTTACCACAAAATATAAGGTCATCGACATATATAATAACAGCGCAGAAAAAACTATCAGAGTCAATGATGAAGAGGCAGGGATTTGAGGCTGCTTGGTGGAAGCCCATGTTGAGGAGTTTGGACTTTAGGAGAGCATGCCAAAGGAGACCTGATTGTTTAAGTCCGTATAGACTCTTATTGAGTTTCAAGATGTGATCAGGTGGTAGGCCGACGGCGGCAGACCTGTTGGAAAACCCTATATGTATGCTGAGTCCACGTCCATCTGTTCAACGTGCCACCTGTTAGAGGCGGCGACGGCAAGAAGTGTGCGGAGGGTATCGTGACTGCATGTGGACGCGTAAGTCTCATTGTAGTTCATGCCTTTGGTCTGTGTAAATCCTCGAGCGCAAAGTCCAGTCTTATACCTATCTACCATACCATCCATCATCTTGATTTTAAAAACCCATTTGCTAGGGACGGTAAAGGCGTCGTCTGGTACTTCGTCCAGACATAGGAGATCGTACGCACCAGCCTTCTTTAAGACTGTCTAGCTTGCGTTGTATGGACGTGCACCAAAGGTCAGCTATTCGCCTTTGAGCACTTGGCGAATGGTAGCAAAACACAGGGGTGAGTGGGTGTGATTGAATCTTGTTGCATACTGTGTAGAGTTTATGTACTGTATCATTGTACATAGCCTGTTGTCGTGTGCTTTCATGTAGGTCAGTGGAATCGTCGGGTAGAATAGTGTTGATTTTGATAGGTATGTCATCTTGGTCGTCGTCAGCGGTTCCGGCTAGTCGTGGAGGTGTATGAGATATAGCCTGAAGTGTTTTACTAGTGCTGGAACGAGCCAGTTGGAGTGCTGCCCGGCGAAACTGGCGGTGAGCTTTGTTAGTTTCGGATGTGTGTGTCAGATATGCGAGTGTGCGTCTCAATTTGTCTTTGGGATTAATCTCTTGTTTAGGGAGAGATGTGATCGTATTTGAAAAAGATACCAGTGTTTTCGATATCTGGGCTCCAATGAACGTGTCTAGATGGAGGTAACGTATGACGTGGAGATGTTGTGCTGGTTGCTGTGACGTTAATATATTCGGCACCATGTTGATTAGTAGCGTTATGATGTGTCATTTGTCTAGCATGCTGACGAGTCATACGCACCTGATTGGGTAAAGCGGGTTCATTGAGACTTCTGCTATTGTTTCGACCCGGTAGTAAGAGACCTTTTGACGCACGCGAAGTGGGATGTTTTGCAATGTGACTTTGTAGTTCTCTGTTAACCATGTCCTCGACAGTTGCGGTCGGCCGTTCGAAAAGTGCGGGTGGGCGTGGGGGTGTTGAAGTACCATGTTGATCGGTGCTGTTTGGTGTGGGAAGAAGTGGTTGGAGGCGAATCTATGTATTGATGTATGTATAGTATCTGTGGTGGTGTCGTTACTGGGTTGTTGGGTGATGAGTGGCGGATACTCCCCTGGAATAGGTAGAGTGTGGTTAGCAGGTGGTAAGGTAGTCTGAAGCTCCCCTGCAAGGTATGTGGGGTGATCTGTGGATGTGATGGTAGTTAGTTGCTCCCCTGGAATGATGAAGGTAAGCGAATCGATGACATGGGTAAAGCTGGATGTGGTGGTAGTCAGTGGCTTTCCTGGAATGATGAGGGTGGGTGAGTCAGGTACATTGGTGGAGTTGGTGTTGGCGAGTGTGATCTTTCTGATAGTGGGTACATTGTCTGGTGTGGTATCTGGGAAACTTGCGATTGGCGTAGTGCCGACCATTGTCCACGTTGGGAATACTTTATGATTAAACTGGACGTCACGGGAGTGACATATTTTTCCCAGTTTTCACGCTGAAGATACGGCATTCATCGAAGTATTTAGTGTTGTGACCGAAATAAACACCTAGAGTTGCACGGTCATCTAATTTGTCTTGTTGGTCTTGATTAATGATAGCTACTTGACATCCGTAGACATGCAAGTGTTTGATGCGCTGTGTAGGTTTAGAACCCCAGAAGGCTTCCAGGGATGATTGCTGATTAGCGTTGTGTTTGTTATGTTGGACGAACTTGATAAGTGTAGCGTGGCGTAGTGATTCTGCCCATATAACGTCAGGTTGCCGCGAGTGTTTGAGGAGTTCAAGTGTGATATTTTTGATGAAATCATTAGTACGTTCTACGAGACCGTGTAATGCTGGAGAGTTTGAAGGTATGTAAGTGACCTTGACGTGTTGAACAGTGTTGATTCTGTTGAACTTACGAACTCACCTCCTCTATCACATTTAAGTTCTCGTAGATTGGCTAGATGGTCCTTTCCAATATCTGTGTAGAAGCGGTCAAGTGTGGTGGATGCCTTGTCGTTTGTCTTATGGGGATACACAAAGGGTGCACCAGAGTTGGCGTCGACAAATTTTATGATCGAGGTATATCCACCTGGAATGGTTGAGCATCCTGTTTCCAAATCGACGTGTGGAGATAGAGGACGGCGTCGCATCTTACCGCGTGCGCATGGAGGACAGAATTTGAGTGGGTGAGGATGTCAGCTGTTGGAGGCACTGCATGTTGTTCATTGCCTAACCTAGGTATACAGATGTACCACCGGGGAGGGGGGTCAACACTTTCGTTGCCGTTGCGTAGTAAGGTGTTCTCGTCAGTTTTCATAACCTCGACGTGTGAATGAATTTGTAGTTTAGTTTGATTGTAATTTTTGGTGTGTGATTAGGAGAATGACCACCGTGACTAGACTATTTTCGTTGTTTAGTTTACGAAGTGTCTTGCGCCAATCGTTCTTGGTGAATAGGATGCTGCCGTATAGGTGCTTATGAGGCTGGTTCCAAGACTGTATGTATGCTTCGTATAAGGATGCATCGGGTTCTAAGCTACAATAGACGGGTACTTGAGCATTCTGTTTGCTAGCGAAGAGGTCGATATCGACGCTTCCGAAGGTAGTTTCGACTCGATCCTTGTATATTAGAGGGTTTAGCATCCAATCACCGATGTTTGGCTTGAGTGGTTGTTTGATAACAATGTTGTTATCGTGAAGCATTGATCGGGTTTTATAAGGAGGTGTGTGACCAAGGATGTCATGCCATTCAGTAGCAGTGTGAGTGGTGAAAGTGTTGAGTTTGTACTGGCTGTCGATGAGCGAGATGCGTTGGACGATGTGGTTATTTTACATAATGTGACATTCTGGTGTGGGAGTGTCAAGCAGAGGCAGGAGGGAAATAGACCCCGAGTCCATGTTGTTGCATAAGGTGAACTGAGAGGACATTATGAGTGGCCTGGGACATAATCAATACTGGACCAAGACCGGGAATATTGCCACGTTCATGTACGGTTATTTGTGACTTATCTGGAAACTCTATACCAAACTGCCCATATGCTATATTCTTGAGACCATCGCTGGTGGTATGAATGTGTCATTGCTCCGGAATCAATAAGAGATGCCTATATTGAGGCTCGTTATTGGGTCTGGATGTCTGATATTGTATATTATTAAAATTATAGATATATACGATAGCTGATTTTTTTTATTGTGGGCTGGTGATGTGTATTATCGTGTAGGATACCGAATATATGATAACGCATGTGATCAGACTGGGCCCCCTGACTTCATTTTTGTAGAAATGCAGCATCGGTTTGACCTGCTTTGTTACATTTAGAGCAGTGGAGTGTAGAGCGGTCGACAGGGCATTTGTTTCCCTTGTGGTTGTTTGAACCACATTTGCGGCAGATGGAGGATGGGCAGCCGTGGATGCCACGGCCCTTCTCGTTGCACAACGGGCAGATAATGTTGCGACGCTCACGTTGACCAGCAGTGTTGTCTTTACCAGGATCGCCATTGTTGGTGTATAGTTTAGAGGGTTGATCGGATTTGGTGTTGGCGTTAGTATTGATAGCAATGATGCCAGAAGCAGCGTTGTCGCTTCTATGAAGTTGATGGTCACCTTCAAATTCCATGGTCATCTGGTACACGTCATCGATCGGGTGTTTTTCTTCATCCATGTCGAAGATAGTGGAGGGTAGGAGCGTGGTATAGTAGTGCACAAATAAGATACTTGTCGGAATAGGTTTTGGCGGAGTGCTTCGAGTGCTTGCATTGTGGGTTCTGTGCTACCAGTCGATTTGAAATATGTAAGGCGTTGCATAGAGTCCCCGAATCTGCCAAAACTGCCTGTGTTGTGTACTGTGCAGATGTGTTTGAAGAACTCGGCTGGGGTTTTATCTACGTATTGTGTGTAGACTGTAGTTATTAGTCCTTCACCAATGGAGCCTATCAATATGAGATTGTACTTAGCGTCAGCATGCACGTTTAATGTGAGCTTTGTTGCAATGGGGGTGCAATCAGTGAATAGTGCCAAAGTAGGACATCTTCTATTTTGATGCCAATTAGCCAAGCACCAAGTTGTTGGGAGCCTGTCAGTTGAGTACGTTTGTATATGTCTCTGTTGCTAGAGTACAATGTAGTAGACTTTAAATAAAGTGCAAATGTATGTATTTATTTCTGACCTCACCTTTGGTTTTGTACCTAAGGTGTTTGTGCTAGTGTTCAGCCGCTTGGGCTGGCCAGGGTAAAAACTCATATGGTCAGTATGAGAAACCTTATGCGGAACACTTTAACACTTCGATGCTTTTCTATTTCAACTTCTCTGCAACTAAATCTCACGCTGATCACATGATGCCTTTCCGCGTAGGTTGTGACTCACATAGAACCGCAGCTATTATTAGTATGTTGTGGTTGACAGGCTTAATCCACTCTCGGGAATCGGTTGAGAAACTAAATATGTTCTCGGAAGTCGGTTAAGTAATAACTCAACTCTTGAGAGTAATTTGAGCAACTTAATTAGCTCTCGGGAGTGAGCTAATTCTGATGACTTCTATAAATCAAAGATGGTTTCTTGCTGTAAAATCTGGCCTGAGACCTGTAGTCTCTCACTCCCCCTCAATTTTACAATCAACAAGGGCTGAAGTCTGAAGGCTGAAAATTGGAAACTAAAGACTAATGAAGGCTGAAGACTTAAGACCTGGATTGTGAAATTGTTGACTCTGTATGTGGATTGGGCGATAAGCGTTGAACCAATGTATATTTGTCGAAGACATTTACGAATTGGTGCTGTTGAGTATTGTTATGAAAATTGTTGAAAACGTTGATTTTTCTGAAGAGTAGACTATCTCCTGTACAGTGACAGGCTTCACGACTGGCGTGGATAATCTTCTGTACGGGGACAGGCATCACACTTTCGCAGGTAAAAATACTCGAGATTTTCTTGAAAAATGCATCTTACTTACTGAATCGGTGTGTACTGTGGCGTGGATGCTGGGGGACAGCTCCCTTCTGCGTTGTGGCATATTGGTTTGACTATGGGATGTGGCCTGCGAGGCTGAGACTCGGGAGACTGTGAGGCTAAGATTTTCTCTTGGGTCTTGGAATGTGCGGCTCTTATGCTGCGGTATGGCTGCTATCCTTAATATGGTTGCTTTTAAAAAAGTCCCTGTAGGGCCTGTGGACTGTGAAATTCACAATTTTGTTTGTATCCTGCGAGTGAATTTCTGTACAAATTGTCACATGTATGCAACTTTTACGATATCACGCACAAAAATTAAAAGAACCAGTAAGTTACTAATATTATGTGTATCGATGAATACAAATTGTCTGCGGTATTCAACTTTAACTTCAGAGTATTTTATGTCAAAACACAGTCGCACAAGTAAATACTTGGGTGTTTATCGATAGGAACAATTATATGAACAAAGATATAGTTATATATTGCGTGTACATTATTTATAATTTTATTTTTACATATAATATAAACAGTTTGTACACACTCTTTTTACAAGGTACGATATATATGTATATTTTGCAGTCAGAGATAAAGGCACAAAGCATTTGACACCTGCTTACCTTAAAATGCTTACCTTTATTATAAATTGGACTATGTTGATACTGGCATCCGAGTCATTAGTCTGTCGTGTATGTCGGTAAACTTCACTCGGCTGAGTGGCTTCGTGAAGAAATCACTGAGTAGCTGTTCTGATGGTATGTATTTTAACTTGATGGGGTTGTTCGATGTGAGTTCCCCGATGTGATGATATCGTAGATCGACATGTTTTATACGGCGGGATTTCGTGATACCATTTCCCATCAGTATTGCTGACTTGTTGTCCTGTTCTATGGTGGTGGGTTCTACGAGCAGAATGCCGAATTCTGTGAAGATATTCCTAGCCCATACTGCGTTTTTGGTTGTATCAGATTGTGCTACGTATTCTGCCTCTGATGTAGACGTTGTTACTAGTCGTTGCAAGTTTGTTCCCCACATGAATGGTGCACCTGCTATAATGCCCACTCGCCCGGTGGTGGATCGTCTTGTTATGTCATCACTAGCAAAGCTACTGTCTGCACTCAGATAGGGAATACATGGTTCTTTGTTCGTGTATTCAAGTCCGAAGTCCTGAGTGCCAGCGAGATACTTCAAACAGCACTTGGCACCTCTGAAGTGGTGTTACTGAGGTGCTTTCAGATAGCGACTTAGGATCGAAACTGCAAAGCACATATACACTCGTGTTTGATCTACAAGGTATCGTAGCTGACCCACTAGCTTGTTGTATTGTGTGATTGGTGGGACGTCTGAGCTGGCCGCCTTTTCCGGGAGATATGCATGTTTTATCTGTTACTTCATAGTCCGATTCTAGAATTGGCACCCATGCTGGTTTACAATCTATCAACCCCCATTCCTGCAATATTTCTCTTAGGTATTGTCGTTGATGGAGACGTACTCTTCCAGGGTGTATTTCCACCTGGCACTTGAGAAACAATAACGGTAGGCCCATTTCAACAGTGTTCCATTCGCCTTTCATTGCGTCAGCTAGTTTCTGTCCGTCGGTCTTACTCTGGCATGCTGCAATTTCGTCATCTACGTGTACAATAATGAAACAAGGTCCACTGTGTGTTTGTTTGATGAACAGTGCTCCATCCGATTGTGCTTGTTTATAACTGTGTTGTATAACAAACCGATGGATAGCTTTAAACCAATAGTGTCCGCTAGGTGGTAGACCGTATACGCAACGATCAATTCGACATATAACCTTTGTGTCTCCTTGCTTGTGCCTTTCGTATAGTTTTCTCTGAGACGGGTCCAATAGATGTTCGATGAGATCGTATCCTTGCGGCACTCGCATGTAATTAGGGGTATCCAGTTCTTGAGTGTGGTAGGCCGAGGGTGTATCGTATTGTCGAATGTCCATGTCATAGTGTGCCATTAGAGCTAGACAGATCCTGAGTGTTTCCTTGGCTACTACTGGGGCATAGCTTTCATCGTAATCGACTCCCTGTTTTGCATTGAATGCTGCTAGTTCAGACGTGATTTGAGTCGTGTGACTTGTCCTGGTTCATCCATTTTTGCCTTGAAGACCCATCGAGGGGGGGATAATGATTTCTCTCGCGGTTGGTTGTCAGCCATAGTGAATGCCTTGCGCTGCATCATTAAGCTCTACATCTCCAAACGTGCTGATTCCTCCCAATCGGCTGCGTTTGGCATCTCATATATACCTTTGTATGTTTTTGGTTCCATTGCTGCAGTTGCTGAATTGACAGTGTGCGTAGTGCTAGGAGTTTGTCTCTTACGGCGGCTATCGTGATACCAGTCGACATTATTATCATATATCGCAAGGTCCCGCAGTTCTCGAGAGACTTGGCGACCTTCTGTCGTTCTTCTAGCGATGGTTGCTTCGAGATCATGTTGTGTTTTGGTAGTCACTGCAGAAGCCTCCGACTCGACGGTATGTACTTCATTCTCAGCAGGTTGTTGTGTTGACGATGAAGTTATTTGTAGTTGTTCTGAGTTGCTCGACTTGTGCGTCACAGTGAACTGGGCTTGTTGGCTAAGCATATCTTCCGTTGTCGATGTTGTCCTTGCGTCTGTTTGGAAATCGACATTCTCGATTTGGAGGAATGTACTACTGTTCGTAGTGTCAGGTGGTGCGATAGCGGTTGTACATTTGTTGTCTTCCCAGACAAAGAATTCATCTTCGAATATATAGACGTCTCGGCTTTGTATTATACGCTTGGTCAGAGGTGAGTATATACGATACGAGTCCGGTGTTGTATCCAAGGGTTGCGCAAGAAGAATGCCATCCAATGCTTTGTCGTCGAGTTTGCCGTCTGGATCACGGTTCTTGTATGCGATATGACACCCGAATGTTCTGAACATATCTATCGGAAATGCATATCCTATAAACTTCTCGTATGGGGATGAGCTCTTCTCGTTGGTGGGTATAGCATTGTATATGTTGGTAGTTTGAATCAGTGATTCAGCCCACATGGTAGTCGGTAGACGTGCATACTTCAGTTGTGCAAGCATTCTAGGGACCAATGTACCATGGAGTCTTTCTACCTTGCCATGATATTGTGGCGTGGCCGTAGGTGCGTACCTCGAGCAGTATCCCAAACACGCAAGTCCAACACCCACTCTGTATCAATCATAGACGATTTTTCTAGCATGGCCAAAGAGTATCCGATCCGCGATCTGAAAGCGACAACAATTTTGGATGCTATGTTACACACCTTCGATGAATGGTACATCTTAAGTCATCGCCGAGTTCAGTGCATACAAATGGTTCGATGCTCACAGCTTACAGCAAACGTAACGAGGCGCATGCTTGCGTGTTTGGGATACTGCTCGAGGTACGCACCTACGGCCACGCCACAATATCATGGCAAGGTAGAGAGACTCCATGGTACATTGGTCCCTAGAATGCTTGCACAACTGAAGTATGCACGTCTACCGACTACCATGTGGGCTGAATCACTGATTCAAATAGAAAAATCGTCTATGATTGATACAGAGTGGGTGTTGGATCCTATTGACGTTACGAACGGTCCTATTATGTCCACGAAGACTAACTTGAGAGGCTCTGTAGCAGGTTCGTGCTGTCGTTCCTTGGTTGTATTCGTGTTCTTCTATTTAGCAGTAGTGTATGCTTTGCATCGTTCCTCTGGTTGCCTTATGTAGGGTAAATATTTTGGGACGTAGCTGGGGTGCGCGAGCCTGTTGTGCCATGAAATCTGATTGGCTTTCACCAGCGATGGTTCCACTGTAGTCATAGCTATGTCGTCGATGTGCACATAGTATATTCTGTGTTTTTTTATATGTATTGTTATGGTTCTGAAGCTTGGTAGTAATATGTACATCATGCTGTTGGTGAATTCAAATGAGTAGTGTCGCGCTGAGAGTAGGCTGATACTTAGTAGTGCAGTTTTAAATGTTGTATCAATGAGTGCGTCCCCCAAGTTTCATAGCTGAGCCACATACTTCGGATAAATGATTGTACCATCAGCTACTTCGAGCGCATACCGGTCATTAATGCGCATGTTGCTGACGAGATGATGTTTGTGGTACTTATAGGGAAGTACGTGTATGGTGGCGCAGCTATCGCAAGCTAGTCAGTATCCACCTCTGGAATCTATATCTGACTGATCTTTCACCTCCTTATTGTCGATTGTAGGGTCAATTGTGGAGAATGCAATCTGTCTGTTTGCAGGTAACTGGTCATCAGATACTTGTGCTGACCTAGCTTTGTCCTGTTTGCCTTCATGAGCTTGGCGTCGATTGCTCTGGGATCTATATGTTCTGTCAATGTCTTGTGAATGTTGGATATCTCGTGAATATCTACCATCGTCGTATGCGTTTGTAAACATCCTTGTATCTAGGACATCCTGTTGATACTAAGCCTGATTGACCGGGTATTATGCCGAAACAATCAATGAGACTCGTTGAGTCGCTGTGACCTCCTTGAGATGACGATGGACATCCACTTGCCCTGAACTTTTCGACCTCATAGTTGAATAAGTTCATATCAAGGTCGACGGTTCGTTGCATATAGCGTATGGCTTCAGCGTGGGATTCGTCAGCTATTGTAATCCATATGTCCTAGACGAGGTGTGCTAACACTTGTACAGTTTGACAGGGAAGTTTACAATTGTTAATTCTGAACTCCCGGGTAAGAAAGCGAATCTCATGCAGAAGAATTTTACCTTCTGAAAGTGTGTTGTATCGAGTAGACCCTAGCCAATGCGTTTCGCCAAAGTGAATAGATTAGTCGTTGGAGTTGTTGTAGAGAGATCGATAGATTCAATCGCGGTCATTATTACATGAACCCTTTTAAGTGTAATACCGTCGTGTGTCGAGCTTGGAGTAGTTGAATGCGAAGGTTGTGTGAGATAGACGCGAATGTTATATGGTAGGCTAGGTAGACCGGTAAACTGTCACCACGTACAAAGTGACTTTATTCATCCCACTTCAGAGGGTATTAGATGTATTGCCGGCCATATGCTTCTACATGTAAGTATACGATATAGCCTTTATGAGGCGTCATGTGTCAATTACCTACGTGACACTTTGGCACCTGTCAGTCTTGTCCATGTACCATCATTGGCACCGAACTGTAGTTATATCCGAAATAGTGATGATACATGACATATTGTTGATTTTGGCATACACAGAGAACGTCAGCAAACCAGCACTGGGACAAACGACACGACTATAATCAGATACAATGAATGACAAGACTGCATGCATTTGATCGAGTACAAGCAGTGGACACGATACGGCCAGCTTGTGACAAACTTGATGAACATAATTATAACAATATAGGTTACAAATATCTTTATACAACGTGGACGTGAAAATCACGATATTGTAAGTCGGGCAGCAACTTTAAGTAGTCGTAGTAGGGAGTTCAATGCAATCTGGATTGCTAGCTATGTATATTTCGAGATGTGGAGCATATAATTGTTCTTGATAATGGAAAAGAATACGTATCTCGGAAGGCATGCATGCATAAAACAAAAATAGAGCTGTCAAAAGACCAAAAAGAAAAAGAAAAATGACGCTTATACAGCCAACAATTGACTAACTGTCAACGCGAATGGAATACACATATTATTATTTATTACGTGAATCGAGAAATATTACAAATCGTGGATAGTATAGTGGCTAGTATCTCCGCCTGTCAAATATAACAGACCGCGGAAGACCCGGGTTCAATTCCCGGTTCGCGAATTTTTTTTTGATACAAAGGGTAACACTTTGAATCGAGAACAAGGGTATCGTGCAGTTCAAATTATACATTGTGTTTTTCACAACCTTGGATGTCTGTATTATTAGTGATATTTTGGGATCACCTAGACGATAATATCTAGTGGTTTAGTGGTATAATTGCCCCCTGCCACGGGGTAAACCCGGATTCGATTTCCGGCTAGCACCGATGACAACACTGTGTTTGCAGTTGTAAGGTCGCATGTAGATGAATAATCATTGATCCACGATTTTACAGAGGGAACAGTTTAGCGATGACTGTGTATAAAATATTTTAAAGTCGGATTATCCAGGCCTTATTAGTGACTTAAGATGTACCATTCATCGAAGGTGTGTAACATAGCATCCAAAATTGTTGTCGCTTTCAGATCGCGGATCAGATACTCTTTGGCCATGCTAGAAAAATCGTCTATGATTGATATAGAGTGGGTGTTGGATCCTATTGACGTTACGAACGGTCCTATTATGTCCACGAAGACTAACTTGAGAGGCTCTGTAGCAGGTTCGTGCTGTCGTTCCTTGGTTGTATTCTTGTTCTTCTATTTAGCAGTAGTGTATGCTTTGCATCGTTCCTCTGGTTGCCTTATGTAGGGTAAATATTTTGGGACGTAGCTGGGGTGCGCGAGCCTGTTGTGCCATGAAATCTGATTGGCTTTCACCAGCGATGGTTCCACTGTAGTCATAGCTATGTCGTCGATGTGCACACAGTATATTCTGTGTTTTTTTTATGTACTGTTATGGTTCTGAAGTTTGGTAGTAATATGTACATCATGTTGTTGGTGAATTCAAATGAGTAGTGTCACGCTGAGAGTAGGTTGATATTTAATAGTGCAGTTTTAAATGTTGTGTCAATGAGTGCGTCCCCCAAGTTTCATAGCTGAGCCACATACTTCGGATAAATGATTGTACCATCAGCTACTTCGAGCGCATACCGGTCATTAATGCGCGTGTTGCTGACGAGATGATGTTTGTGGTACTTATAGGGAAGTACGTGTATGGTGGCGCAGCTATCGCAAGCTATTCAGTATCCACCTCTGGAATCTATATCTGACTGATCTTTCACCTCCTTATTGTCGATTGTAGGGTCAATTGTGGAGAATGCAATCTGTCTGTTTGCAGGTAACTGGCCATCAGATACTTGTGCTGACCTAGCTTTGTCCTGTTTGCCTTCATGAGCTTGGCGTCGATTGCTCTGGGATCTATATGTTCTGTCAATGTCTTGTGAATGTTGGATATCTCGTGAATATCTACCATCGTCGTATGCGTTTGTAAACATACTTGTATCTAGGACATCCTGTTGATACTAAGCCTGATTGACCGGGTATTATGCCGAAACAATCAATGAGACTCGTTGAGTCGCTGTGACCTCCTTGAGATGACGATGGACATCCACTTGCCCTGAACTTTTCGACCTCATAGTTGAATAAGTTCATATCAAGGTCGACGGTTCGTTACATATAGCGTTTGGCTTCAGCGTGGGATTCGTCAGCTATTGTAATCCATATGTCCTAGGCTTGTAGCTTACGGCATTGCCCGATGGAATGCCCACGATTATTGCAGAATGCACAATTTCCTGTCGATATAGCTGCATGCACAACGTGCACAATGGTTGATGGGTCACTTTCATCTGGATCCAATGGGATGAGGTACGTGGTGAGCTCATCATACGACATGGCCATCATAGCGGGTGTCTTCAACGTAATCGTAACAGTCTGATTATCGTCGTTTACAGCCTGCCGTAGAATAGCGCATAGGCTGTTGTTAGACTTCGTACCTCCGACGTTTTTGAATTTCACAAATGCCGTGTTGAGACGACTGATAAGGCTGGCGTAAGATTCGTTCCGTTCTTGCGTGATGCGGTTCAGTTTTCCTTCTAATGTCTGGATATCATCTTCGGTCAGGGCTTCAAACTTGTGTTTCAGTGCGGCAATAGCTTCCCAGGGCTTATCAATGAATTGGCTGATCTCCGTTTGCAGCAGTGGAGATAAGGTGCGGTTGATAATCCGATATGCCCAGCGATTTCATTGGGTGTCCATCGGTTGCCTCTAGATGGGGTTGGATAGGTCAATATTGTTGGGATTACTTCACAATTCACGTATAGAATTGTCTGGGGTTTCCAAGGGAGCCAGTCGACCTTCGATTCGAGAATAGTGGTGGTCTTAATATCCTTAGAGTTCACAGTAGGCA